TGAAGAACGAGGATAGTTTTTGTAATTGATACTTTTTACCAAGGCAGATATGCTCCACCAGGCAGGACTACAGTTGAGCTCCACGTGGGTGAGTGAGCTGCTGCTGCTGTGGGAAGTTCAGCCAAAGGGTCTTAGTTTCTGCTAAGAAATGGGTCTTAGTTGTTCAAGGGTTGGTGTGAGAGGGATAGTCAGGCTTTGAGGAGCTTTCTGACTTGCACAGACATACTTTTTCAGCAGGGTGTAATATACCTCAATGCCCCACAATAACACCCCAGGGTAACAATGAACCAAAGAATGACTGGACATGTACTATGCACTGAGTATAGACTTCCATAGTGATGGGATTAACCCCACTAAGGTTAGAGGTGGGTGTCTCAGTATACTAGCAGGCTTCCAGTCTGCTCAAATGCCTCCTGAAAGCCAATGCTTAGCAAAAATGGTAATCTTTAAAAATCCAGATTTGTACTCAGCATAAGGGTTCCAATAAATAAATTCCCAGAGGTTATCAAATCTGATATGGTTATCGTGTCACCTGAATGGTGATCAGTATTGCCTGATTACACTATAGTAATTGGATCATGTAAGCAAGCTGTACCTGTGCAAAAATTATTGGAAAAGATGCGGTAAGTTGAACTACCCAGCCTTAGGGTATATCACTGCAGCCTGGGGATAGGAAAGACTGTTCAGATGGGTAGAGATGCTGGTCTTCTGTCACTGACTCATGCTGCAAACTGCAAGAAGATACTTCAGCTTGGAGACTGGCTTTTCTGTCTACAGAGATATCGGCATGGTATTACTTTTGGCACCAAAGATCTTGTGCATCTTACCAGGTAAGTATTTTGGCTAGGCTTTGACTAAAAAAAAAATTATATTAATAAATCATATTTCTCTTATTCAGTTGGTCCATTATCACTTTAATTTACACTTATGCATGAGTAAATGTCACATGGGGTTGTCCTGTTGCACCCTGATTAGCTTGTTGTTTCTTGCCTCAGGGTATCCCCTGCCTTGTCCCAGAACAAACACTCCTGAGGCTACAGAAAGGGTGAGATTGGGAAATTGATTAATATAGTAGGGTTGTGGTGGTTTTCTTTCTGGATTAGCATTTGTGCAGCACTATGTAATGTAAAATTTAAAAGTCAGTTTACCATTTCATAAATGGCCTGATATGTACCTAAATGCCCTGCTGCATGATTCACACAAAAGCAGCTGCATGCAATTCAAAGTATGAGTTATTGTCCAATGTCTTGCTAAATGTCTGTCTTCTTCACATGCTTTATTTGCCCTGCTCTATCTTGTATTTCCTAATCTTGGCCTGGATTCAACTGTATATACACAGTTAACCCATAGTTACTTCTGCCTCCAAAAGGAAACTTTTACCCAGAGACTAAGTGAGCCGAGTCCAACAAACGAGAGCAGAAACACGTTCTCAGTGCAGAGATTCAACATTTGGCTGGCAACTGCTGATGCACAGGTCAGTGATTTGACTGTCGGGCAGCTCAGCTGGAGGCTGGGATGGAAGGCATCTCTGCTAGCATGAGCTCCATCTTCACACTCAGTTCAGGTGTGGGTGCTGAACACATGCAGAAAAAAGCAGGGACAGAAAGATGATAACAACCAGTGACTGAATAGGTAAAGTGAAGGCACCCAGCTTGGATTTATATAGGATCACAGTAATTTTCTATCTGTATTAAACCTTGACAAGGTCTGTTTGGCCAGTATTTGACTTACATGAAAAGCAAGTTGGAAAAGTGTAACTATACATGGGAGAGGAAGAATCACAAGAGGATTGCTTCTGATTCCCTTGCAAAAGCTGTCCAAGGAGCAGGGAAAGATGATCCAGCTAATTCCTCTTTTTGTGCAAAGACTTTAAATAAAGGACTTTTCCTTAATTGTGAGTTAAGCCAAAATTATATCAAGCATCATGTCCAAAGAATCAGACTATTTTTAAACAACAACTCAGAGAAGCAATAATCAGATATTTTAAACCATATTCTTTAAATAAAGAATTTTATTTCCCCCTCAAAAAACAGTTCCTTTTATTTATTAATTACATTCTTCTGCACAAAGTAACCCTTGTGTCTTCCTATTAGGTTCATACCTATCTTTAAGCACCAGTAAACCCAGGCATTCACTGGGAACAAAAGCACCTACAGTTCCAGCTTTCATTGGTGGTTTCTTTTTTCATTGGCCATAAGCCAGACTCAAACTGTTTGAGGGGGGAAGTAGCAGACACACATAAGCCACTATTTATTTCCAATTCTCATACAAGACACCTGATACAAGCCAAGATGAAGAGAAGTCCAAGGATTCAGTGTATAAGCATGGGAATGCACAAGGGCAAAAGTTGGCGGGATGGCAGAAAAGGAAAGGGGAGGGTGAAACACGTGAAATTGGTTTTCAGCAAAAAGGTTCTTCTCATTTTTTCCCAGATGAATGTGCTGTTGTTGCTACACAGAGACCTGGGCAGCTCAGGTGTTCTGTGCTTAAATCACACTGATTTTTAAGTAACTAGTTCCAGAAAAAGGACCTTCCGTCAGGAGAACTGACCACTGCTGGTGAGCAAATATTTCTCATTCTTAACTTTCCTTTAACAAAGCAGTGAGGTTTGGTTGACAAATGCATTACAAGCCTAGTTTTATGAAAAATACAAATGATATATGCTTAGAGATTAGCTAGCAAAATTAGTTCTGACACAGATGAAGGCAATTCATATGGTGTTGGTTGTCATTTTTTCTCTTAACTCACACTGGATCAAGTAACATCAACATTTCAGAATCTTGAATTTAAACTGCCTGCAGCTACAGCTCCATAAATTATCCTTCCAAAACACTACTGGTTTTCAATAGGATGATAGTCTATTATTTAAGCTTCAGATAATTGATCCTGTGACATAAGATTTACATTTTTATTTTTTCATGAATACTGCATGAAAGAAAGAACTGATTCATGCATTTCCATATTTGCTTAATAGAGACATTATCTGGTGTGGTTTCAGAACCATTTCCATTCAAGTTTAAATAGCATTTTAACATGTTAATATAAATTCTAGATTTTATTGTTAACTGATACTAAGGACAGTAACTTTCAATAGAGTTGCTAAAAATTGTCATCTGTCTAGACTATAGTAGCAGGATGTAATGATCTCCTTTTGCTGACTGAAGTTAGTGATCTGCACAAAATAGGGGAAAATTCAAACGGAATTTTTATTACTGAAAAAATCCCTCCCTGCCAACCTTCTCTCCTTGGAAAAAAAATGGAAAACTTTCTTGTGTTTTCTTATTAAACATCCATAATTTCCAGTCATCAAATTAATGTGCATAATTAACAAGCTCCAAATGAGACTTCCTTCTAAAACACAATCAACAGTAGCTAACATGAACAAGCCTAAGAAAGAGAGTATGTGAAACAAAGAACTACTCAAGAGTTGTGACACCCTCTGGGGGGAAAGGGAAGTGTTGTGGACAAGACTGAGGAGTAAAATATTATCATGGATGCACTAATTATTTTACGAACTTTCAAAATATAGAATTTTACTATGAGGTGATGGTTCATTTTAAAAAATAATAATACATTGCACATTTTAATGTGCAAATTCTTCTTCAGTAACTTGAAGAGTTTTCTTTTCTTGAGATTGCCAGCTGCTGGAAGTGGAATTTTAAATTGTTCATCAGAAATAGGACTGTTAACATCAATGTTAGTATTGTTGAGGAATTCATTAAAGTAAGGATAAATGCCACTGCACTTTTCATGCCTCTGTTCTAAGAAGCACAAAGCACATTCTTTTGCCAGTGCTCAAGGCAGTAATCCCATATTGGATATCACTTTTAAACTCAAGTATGACATTTTCTTTGTCAATACAGCCACAAGTGCTATGGGTGATTTTAATCTTTTTTTTGTATTAAAGGCAAAGCACCTTCTCAGCAGGTCATCCTGGTGACTCCTAAAGCTCAGTGTGAAAAGTGGAATCTCCAACAACAACTGATAAATGGGCTAGGTGGTATCCTGGGCCACCTGCATTATAATTCTTACCTTAGTTCCAATCATCAGGTATCTAGCTAAACATCCAAGTTCTAATGTCTAACGATGATTATACAGGGCAGAAAGAAAACATAACAATGTTAACATTTTGACTTTCTAGTGACTTTCCTCAACTGTCACCTTTTTTTACCTTTTATCAAGACTAGAAATTACTGAATTTCTTATAATGATCTTTGTCAGGAAGAGAAGCAAACATCTTCAGAATACTGAAGTAGCCAGGGGCACAGATGGTTTCTCTTATTAAGCAGGAGTTGAGCTGAAAATTAGTTTAAAAATGCCATGAAGAGTGAGGAAATTTTTTGAGCTTTCATTGTGAGAACAGCTGAAAATTTCTTCACATTTATCTCTAAATCTTTGACATCCTGGTTCAGAGAGTGCACATTAAAAGAATGGCAATTTCAACATTCTGAAGGAATTTGCTGATTTAAAATATGCTATACCTGGAGGCAAATACTTGTCAATTTTCCTGTTTTATTAAGAAGAATCTTATGACAAAAAATTATCTTTTGACCAAAAAAACTACTATCCATGAAAAAGATCCCATGCTGTTACATTTCCCTGAAATTAAGAAACTCAGAATTAAGAACTAGTAGTACTGTCTTGAAATGTTCAGTATCTGGTACTCCAGTGCAGTACTAGTTCATAAGAAACAAATTCTGGGTGACCAGAAATGAACTAAAATAAATTTTTTTCCCCTGATCACACTGTCATGAGAATTGTCCTCTGCAGCCTAATTCTGACAGCTGAAATCAGCGCTGCCTGATAAAATCAAGCACCTCTATTTTGCACTTTTCTCACAAAGGCACCTATAGAAATAACAAGCAAAACTACTTCCACAGTATAGATAGTTAGGATACCATTGATTTACACTACACCAGGAGTTGAATTCGTGTAACTAAAGCTGTTGCTTTGTTTTCTAGTTTTCTTGCTGCATTGAAAGGGATCTTCTCAAGGAAATAATGCTCCATTCAACATTGGCCTTGTCCCTCCTGCTAATTGCAGTCTCTTCCAATCTTGCGATGGCAATCAAAAAGGAAAAAAGAGCACCTCAGACACTGTCAAGAGGTACCATACATTTACTTTATGTAGTTACCTCCTCATTTTCCTATATATGTCAGCAAATGTTTTTATTTAGAACATACCTGAAATAACATATATATTTACAGAAGCGTGTTTCTCTAGTGTTAAATGACACTAAGTAGTGCATCTTCTTATTCCATGTTGTTTCACTCCATCAATTTGTTCTTAAGGATATGGTTGAGGGCCTAGTACAAGCTGCATAATTTATATAACTCATAGTGACCTAGTAGAAGCCAAAAACCCAAAGTGAGTCTTGCAAATTGGGATGCATTTGTACCATGAAAAAATATTCTTTACTATACCAGTTAAAACTTAATTCGCTATGATCAAGTATTCGTTACTGAAACAATTTCATAACTTCAGTTGCTATGGAACAATTTTTCTACAGAACCATTTTTATACACAGAACAACAGTTTGAGCTACTGGTGGGTTTTCTGTGTTACTTTTTTTAGCTTTTCATCAGACAGTCACAGTCATGCTTTGCAGTGAATAATTCACTTCCTTGCAGTGCATAATTTTCAACCTGGATGTTAACTGAAGACTCTAAGTTATTTATGCTTGATCAATCCTTAGAAATACAATCAGAGAAATATCTTACAGAATTATTTACCTCTTCTCCATCTTCCCTCTTCTTTTGGGCCTATTCACCCCCAAAAAGACTCCAGCTCCCTCCCTGAACTCCTCTGCCAGCTGTGCAAAGCCTGCAGACCCCACAGTTCACCTCTGAGGTCTTCTCATACAAAGCACTGCCATAAGCCTTGCCTGTCACAGAGGTCCCATCTGAGCCTGACTGCTCAGGGACCACTTGATGAAATCATGCAACACCTGAACTAACCAAAGAGAAATTGCAAATCACTTCTCGTAAGTAGCATCCCTGAATAAAGGTTCTATGGCCTGTCTCACCTAGAGCAGGATTTATTTTTCCCACTAACCGTAAATGTATAAAAACAAAAAAAAATAAATCCCTTCAACTCTAGTAATTTTGAAATAAGTAGTAACAGAAAGTGTCAATTTTCTAATTCTGAATTCAGGCCCTTTGGGATGCCTTGAGTGCTTCACCTGTAATTTGCACAGATCAGAGGAACACTTGTATCTGCTGCAAAATTACTCTAGCTGAATCCTCTGTGCAGTTACCTACATCAACAGCTGACTTCAGCCAGGGCTGGGAACACACTATAGTCTACACAGCAGAATCCCACCATCAACCAGACAGATCTGCAATCAAAATCACTCTCCTGAAAGGAGATGACCTAGTAGCATCACAAGCAATTGTCCCATGAGAAAGCTGACAGTAAATCTCTACATAACCACAGTTGCTCCAAGCACTGTCCAGACAGCGTAGTTGAGTCTTAACCTGGTCCAGATCCAGAGCTGTTCTACAATTCCCATGAGGTCCATCATGAATGGAGCAACACTGCCTGGCAGGTGGGATCTATTACACAGGGACTGGCATCTTTGGGAGCTGAAGGCATGAAACCAACTGGACAATTTGCTTTTTGAGATCAGCTGTGGATGAGCTATGAAGCTGATGATTCATTCGGATTTTGTTAAGGTCAAGATCTTTGTTTAACAACCACTTTTTAATTAAATCATAAGTATTTGCAATGCCTGGGATTGAAATTTGTAGGTCAAGAGTTAAGCTTAATATCCAAGACTATTCCAATCCTGTTTGTGTACAATTATTGATTAATATAAAAATGTAATTTGTTATTACTTACTTACCTGGCCACCAGTTAATCCATTTGTTATATTTCTAGGTTGGGGAGATGAAATTACCTGGGTACAAACTTATGAAGAAGGGCTTTATCAAGCAAAAAAAAGGTAAGAGAATAAAAGATAAAGTTGTTAATCAGACAGTCATGCATGAATATACTGTAATGAAACAGAACAAAAAAGCACTACGACAGCTCTGATCTGTACACCATTCAGTTAAATAAAACAGATTTAATGTCTATAATAACAGTTGTTGCAGGGGTCCTATGACTCCTAAGCAACATCATGGGCAACCCTGCATTTAACACTGTTGTTTCCTTGTCACAACAGCAATATAGATTTTTTTAATTATTTTTTTTTTAAATGTAATGATTCTTCCAATTACATCCTTAATCAAAAGCTGGAAATCAGTTACATTTGCTCTTGCATGGTGATCTACATGTTGGTTTCCCCAACACTTTATTAGAATCATGGAATGATCAAGTTTGGAAAAGACTTTAAAGATCAGCCCTACACCCCCATGATCACTAAACCATCTCCTGAAGCACCAAGTCCAACCGTTTTTTGAACACCTCCAGGGACAGTGTCTCAAGCACCTCCCTGGGCAGCCTGTTCCAATGCCTCACCACTCTTTCTATGAAGAAATTTTTCCTAATATCCAATCTGAACCTCTCCTGACACAACGTGACCCCATTTCCTAGGAAGAAGAGGCCAACACCCACCTCACTACAACCTCCTTTCAGGTAGTTGTAGGGAGCAATGAGATTTCCCCTCAGCCTCTTCTTCTCTGGGCTGAACAGCCCCAGCTCCCTCTGCCTCTCCTCATAACACCTGTTCTCCAGACCCCTAAATGGCCTTGTTGCCCTTCTCTGCACCCTCTCCAGCACCACAATGTCCTTCTTATTCCCTGTGAAGTGTATCTGGTCTGCATACTGGCCCCTCTGCACCCCTCAAGGGGGAGTCACCCACAACAATGATGCATTTTTCTTTCTGTACTGAGTTATGATGGTTGGTCTAGAGCAAGTTGGCCCCGGTGGCACTTCTGGCCTACATGGGGTATCCTCACCGCTGTCAGCTGTTTCCTCCTGCTGGGCCCCATACCTGTTCTGCAAGGGGAGCAATGAAGGCTGTGAAGTTCTCAAGGGGACACACCTGCTCTGTTTGTGTCATTGGGCAGGGACCTGTTCATATTGTCCCTGCTCCTGTAAGTTAGCTCAGGAAGGCTGGGAAGCTTGCTGAGCAGAAAAGGAATCTTGTGCTCTACTAATGAGGCTTGCCCCCCGAGCTGTTTTTGTGGAGAGCAGGCTTTGAAAACACTCATCTAATTCCCTCTTGCTCTCCCTGATACTCCTCAATCTGCTCACCTCCTCCCTGAGCTCCACCACTTCATCTTGCAGCTGTGACACCTGGCAGAGCAGTTCATCATGCTGCTCCCACTGGACACAGCCATGGTCAGATCTGGCTCCTGCTACCAGCAAAAAGCTGCAGCACTCCCATCAGTCTGTGACCTGGGTACCCACCTCCTTCCATGGGGACACCCTCTGAGTACCCACATCCATTTTGGTGGGTGCTAGGAGCAGAGTCTTCCTCTGCTGGGCAGACACCATCACTCCTGACCCGAGCTGGCAGTTCTCAGGGCCCCGTCCGTACACTCGGCCCACGCCAACTGCCCAGAGCACTCTGGGCTTGCTCAGCCCTGGTTCACTCACACTCCAGGTTGCTTGGCTCTCCCTGGGGCAGCTTATTTATAGGAGAAGTATTTGCCTCACCTCTCATGGTCTGAGGGGAGCTTCTGGGATCCCTGCATTTAAAAGTCCCGTGATTGCCCTGGTACTGCCCCCAGCCCCGTCCACCTCTCTCATGAGAGCTCTTATTCCCTGTGAAGTGTATCTGGTCTGCATACTGGCCCCTCTGCACCCCTCAAGGGGGAGTCACCCACAACAATGATGCATTTTTCTTTCTGTACTGAGTTATGATGGTTGGTCTAGAGCAAGTTGGCCCCGGTGGCACTTCTGGCCTACATGGGGTATCCTCACCGCTGTCAGCTGTTTCCTCCTGCTGGGCCCCATACCTGTTCTGCAAGGGGAGCAATGAAGGCTGTGAAGTTCTCAAGGGGACACACCTGCTCTGTTTGTGTCATTGGGCAGGGGCCTGTTCATATTGTCCCTGCTCCTGTAAGTTAGCTCAGGAAGGCTGGGAAGCTTGCTGAGCAGAAAAGGAATCTTGTGCTCTACTAATGAGGCTTGCCCCCCGAGCTGTTTTTGTGGAGAGCAGGCTTTGAAAACACTCATCTAATTCCCTCTTGCTCTCCCTGATACTCCTCAATCTGCTCACCTCCTCCCTGAGCTCCACCACTTCATCTTGCAGCTGTGACACCTGGCAGAGCAGTTCATCATGCTGCTCCCACTGGACACAGCCATGGTCAGATCTGGCTCCTGCTACCAGCAAAAAGCTGCAGCACTCCCATCAGTCTGTGACCTGGGTACCCACCTCCTTCCATGGGGACACCCTCTGAGTACCCACATCCATTTTGGTGGGTGCTAGGAGCAGAGTCTTCCTCTGCTGGGCAGACACCATCACTCCTGACCCGAGCTGGCAGTTCTCAGGGCCCCGTCCGTACACTCGGCCCACGCCAACTGCCCAGAGCACTCTGGGCTTGCTCAGCCCTGGTTCACTCACACTCCAGGTTGCTTGGCTCTCCCTGGGGCAGCTTATTTATAGGAGAAGTATTTGCCTCACCTCTCATGGTCTGAGGGGAGCTTCTGGGATCCCTGCATTTAAAAGTCCCGTGATTGCCCTGGTACTGCCCCCAGCCACGTCCACCTCTCTCATGAGAGCTGCCAGCTCCTGCCAGATCTCTCTGCTCTCCCTTGGGCTTCCCTGACTCTATTTCTCTATTTATTTATTTTATGAATGAGTTATGTTCTTTTCCCTTGCTCAAAAATGTCTGTAATTCTTTATGGAATGTCTGTATGGTTTTAATGTGGGTGAACATCAGATTAAATGCAATTTGCCTTTTCCAGTCTGCTAGTAAAATCATCCATTTGCATACTTGTCAAATGATCTAAACACATGTTCTATTATTACTAATACAGTAACAAGCCACTGATGGTAATTCATCACTTAGAAGACTGCCAATACTGCCAAGGTAATGTTGATTTTTTGAGTGTTAAAATTTGATGAACATTTTTACAAGAAATTGCACCTATTTATTTACCTTGCACTTACTGAAAATCATTTAAAGAAACAGGTAAATGAAAATGCATTGGAAAAAAGAATTTATTGCTTTTTTGACAAAAACTCCACTATGAAACTACCCAACAAAGAACATGAAAAATACTCAGTGCTGTTCTCCTGCTATCCCTAATGCAGCACTCGTCAGTTTAAATTAAGAGATATGGATTTGCTACTGATTCATTGAACAGATTTAATATTGTTTGGCTCTTCTGAATTGGTAACTAGAGAAGGAGACAAGGACAGGGCTGCTGAAATCGATCTAATAAGAATTTTCTGAGAATAATGCACTTTTGTCCAGCTGAGGCACGGTATCCTTTGAGACAGGCTTCATAAATAACAGAAGAGAACTTCCATTTTCATAGCTGGGAGGTTGTACTGACACAGTTCAAATAAACAAAAAGCAGAAATAGAGCCCTCAAGTGTCTCTTCAGGAATGTGAACCAGCAGAGACAGGAACAATGTGGCCAGTCTCCAGCCAACATGGTGCCTAAACGTGGAAGGAAAGGCAGTATTTGAGATGGACTTCTACAACATGACTGTGTCTTTTCTAGCACTGAAGAAAGCTTTTGCAGAAAATGAAGAGATACAGGAAATGGCCCAAAATAACTTCATTATGCTGAATCTCATGGTATGAAGGGTTTGGGGAGGTTTGGGCTGTACCTTTTTCCGGGTTGCATTTTCTCTTTGTCTTGCTTTTTCATGACATTTTAGCTGTATATCTTTGGCATTTCAGCAACATATAACTATGAGTATTTGTACACACAAGTATTAGCTTGCTTGGTTTTGTCCTCTGGTACAAGACTCTATTTACAGGTGGTACTGCTTCATCAAAATTTACAGAAATCTTTAAATAATTAGCTTTAATTTCTCTGCCAGCATGAAACCACAGATAAAAACCTATCACCTGATGGACAATACGTGCCTCGAATCATGTTTGTAGGTATGTATATTTATGTGTCTTCAAATATGTGATATTTGGATCTATGCCAGAGTCCTCCTTTGGAGACATCAAAATTATTCCTTTTGCTAAGAGAAAATAGCTCAAAATTTGTCTTGCTCACCACAGCATTAGTGTACAACGTGACAGTTCTTGAGTTCAATTCTCCCTCTATTGCAGGCTTTGACCCTGATAAACTTCCTCAGGTTACAGATATGTTCTGGAGGGTATTTAATTTGTGCTTGGGAGCAAGACATTCAAATGTCTGATAGCATCTGGCTTTTGCTGTCCGTGCGTCTTGCTAGTTCTAAGACAAAATGTACTGAAAACAGTCAAATATTGAACTGAACGTAGACTACAGTGCAGACGTTACCACAGAGCAAATTAATAGTCAGCAGCATCTAAGGAATGATATATCCCGTCGTAAAACTGACTTCTGGAATAGATTGAACGAATGATGCCCCAGAGTGCCTGTTCCTTTTCACTGACTGTAAAGGGAGCCTAGAGTCACCAGTGCTGTGGTGGCATCCAAAGTTAGGTGAGATGAAGCCTACATCAAGATAGAGAGCAAAGCAGTAACACAAGTCAGTTAGTTACCAAAATGCTTGCATGGGCAACTGAGGGAAAAGATGTCCACAACAACTTGCTCCTATGATGGAAACATTAAGAACCACAAGATTTTCAGTCTGAAGGCTCTAAGTGGGTCATGCTAATATTGCATTATGCATGCATGACCCTCACTATGTGTGCATCCAGTCAAACTGGCCTCCTCAGAACTTGTAAAACAGGATATTTCTCTTTAAATATGAATGAAATGCGCATGTAAATCTATCACTTGAAAATAGCTGCAAAATATAAAAATGATCACTTGGTTTTGTTCAACATTTCTCCAAGAGCAGTTGGCTGGAACAGAGCGTAAAGGCCTTGTAATTGCCTCGTTGATAAAATCAGAACACCTCAGAAACAGGGTTGTCAAAGTAGCACCACTCATACAGTCCTTAGCTGTTGTGGAAATGAAAAGCACTGTTTAATATAATTATTTTTTCAGACCCGTCCCTCACAGTAAGAGCTGATATCACAGGAAGATACTCCAACCGGCTTTACACTTATGAACCCCAAGACATACCATTCTGTAAGTGCCCCCTTCACTGCATTACTTTGCATTTCACACTGTAAGTAGCCAGATACACTCCATCCCAACTTTTCGTGCTTAAGAACCCATTAAGGTCTCATAGAAATGAATAAGGAGAGTGTGTGACCATTTACAATAAACTATAATAGTCTAACTTGTTCTAGCAAAACACTTAATAACACCTATTGTCCCATTGAATTTACTGAGACTACTCAGGTAAGACAAGTTAAAGATCACTGGTGAGAACTTTCAGGATCAAGATCTCAGCAGTTTGTTAGGGAATGGTGAAAGTGCTATGCTCAAAGGTATCCAACTGTGCAATGTAAACAGCCAGTGACAGGAGGGAAACAGAAAAGAAAAGCTGGCGGTTACCTGGGTACCACCTAATACCCGTATTTTAGCAAGGAATGTGATTTTTCAGGTTGAGCTAGTCCTTTATATCATCTATCTGACACCAACACAGTATCTCACCACAAATACGCACTTCACCTCTGATTACCAAGCTAGCTGCTGAGAAGTGAGGGAGTTGAAAGGAGTGTTGTCAAATCCTTAAACGTAAACGTTTTGATTCATTAAACATTTTTCTTCCTGCTTTACTATCAAAGCAAGAATTTGCACAATAGAAAGCTCTAAAATATGACATGTGACTATAAATTAATTCAAATGTGAACAATTTACTAATCAAACTAGGTTGGGTTTTTTAATTGTGCAATTTAATCTAAGTACTTCTTACAGTTCTTATTTCTTTTTCAGTAATAGAGAACATGAAGAAAGCACTACGCCTCATTCAGACAGAACTGTAATCAGCAACAGTGAAATGGTCATAGCCTCTACGAGGTGAAGCTGCACTAGGAAACCTAACATTTTAAAATGTTTTAGTTAACCTGTCTCTACTGGTATTTTGAACTTTTACTAAGAAGCTTTGGTATGTCAGATTTCATAAGCAATTTGAAGAACAAACATAGAAAGACTATGGCATTCATTTGGAAACCAAGATGAGAAATCTATTAAACACTCTGAAATTAGTTACCTGAAGACCTGAAAGTGATGGTTTAAGGTGCAGCAACTTTGAGCTGTATTTTATCAATCCAAATATGACTTTAAGTCAATTAAAATTTCTGACTTACAACCAATCTTTTTGGTGTCTATTTGCAATTTAATAGCTGCATCTCAGCTCCTAAATTTTATTTTTATTGCAGGAAGTTTGTAAGTCACTAGTCTAGCTCTGTTTTGTGCATATATTTCTCATTAAAGGGAAAGAAACTTTGCTGGCACATCAGATAGGAAGGCTCTTCCTATAGATTTTGGAATAGCTTATATAGAAAAAAAACAGTGATCCAGGCTTAGCTTTCTTCTGTATAATTCTTTCATTATCATTCTTATAGCTGAAAACAGAACAGATGTTTCATGCAGAGCATGTGGTCTTAGTGAGGTGATAATCATCAAATAGCAACTACAGGTTTTGCTATCACAAAGACCCAATGAAGCAAGAGAGATGGAAGGAGATAGTCCCAAAACTCCACACCTGAGGCTAAGTGATGCTTGTAATGTCTGGTATGGGAAAGATGAGCAGGTTTGTCCTAGCCCTTTTCATTTAAATAGTGCTTCAGTCACATGAAGCCCATCCCAGGTCATTCCCTCTTTTGCTGTAGCATCCTAACCCAGACAACACTGGTGGAACCTTAGTGAGGGGATCTGTACATACAAAGCCTTCATAAAATTTCCCCAGGATCACCACATGCAAAAGCAGATGCCTGTAAAAAGCTGAAGTCAGTTGAAATCAATTGTTATCCCGGCAATGTGTTTTTTCATTAGAGAAAGACAGTAAGCAATTTATCAGCAGCAAAAGCATGTGATATGTGCAAATCACCAGTGTTACTTGTTTGTGCTACCTGCCATTTCCTGTCTAAATACACAAATAAAAGCTTAAGGAAGGATCTTTGCAGGACAGCTTCACTAATTTACAAAAGCTGGTATTAACTTATCCTGAACAATTTATATTGTATCTGTGTCTTCATAACTGTGTAAAATTTGGCTATAAGTATCCTCCAACAGAGTGATGCTAAATGACCTACACACTAAGAGGAAAAAAAAAACACACAATAAACAACAACAACAAACCACACAAAACAAAACAAACAAACAAGAAAGCAACAACCAAACAACTTCATTTAGTCATTAACAACATATTGTCTCCATAATCAGCAACATGATTTTTTAACCTATGGGAAAATGCTAGAAACAAAATTATACTGGGAATCATATTCCTTTGAGTGGTGTTTATCTCTATTCCTTTATGTCCATATCTATTCCATACTTGGCAACATTTCCCAGCCTGTGGCCATACCCTCTGTCAAGCATGCCAGAGTTGTTCAGGAGCAAGGGCTGTGAGCTTGCTGCCAGAAGTGACACAGGATAGCCATGGCAGCATGTGAAAAGCAGGATTGAGAGAAAATTCATTTGAGGGAGAAGCACAGCACAAAATAGGAAATGCTTGAGTGCAGTAGATTCAAAATATTACCAAAATATTAGGTGGGAACTGGTAGGGTTTTGCTGTCATATTGCAGGGATTTTTTTTCCCTCCTTACATGCACTTTAAACACCAGCTGAGATCATGGGAGACACTGGTTGAATCAACCTCTGCTCTAACTTGGGTAGTAAATAAAATGTGGGACAGTTACTCCATATAGCCAATGTCTGTTTTGCCTACTTAAGATTCACAAGACTGCAGGTTCTGCATTGACATTTGAGGAAAGGTTGCACTTGTGGAAGTGTATGCATGGCTATGCATACATTCCAGTGTGAAACAAAACCTTTTCAATTTAGATTTGGAAAGCAGCTGCAAAACAAACCTGTTGTCCTCCCTCTAACTTGATGCAGAGAACCGCCTGTCTTCTCCCCCCACATATTTGTCCATGGTACTATTGTTTCCTAGCCTGCTACTCCTATTGTTATGTTAATTGCAATGACTCACTTCATGGATTGTCCTAGTCAATCCAGATATTCCATCAGCTTTTCAGTAAAAGAGGGGCATCTTCATACATAAAAATCTGAAGAGCATAAATACACTGAGAGATCCTTAGGATTTATACAGATTATACAGACCTAGGAATCTACTGTTTGCCTTATTTTGAGCATCTGATATTTAGCCAGCAGACAGGAAAGAAAGTATGTGAATTATTAATATTATATTTGAAATGACAAGTTCCAGCACAATACAATGATCACTGGCTTCTAGTATCAAACAAAACTTAGCCTTTATAATTATACTCCAAAGCATGCTATTTTAACATTTGAAGACTATATGGATTAATTTCCAAAGATATTATTGATATGCATTGCATCTCTAATCTAGAACAGTATTTTTTCCACTATAGATGTTTTTGACAGCTGTGACAAACTACTCATCCAAGCAGACAGCAGCCACTTTCCAGAAATGTCACAGAATTCCTCTCTGTCTGATGAGATATAATTTGCAAAGTGACTAAAGGTGATTTCACCCACTTCTTTTCTTTCTCAAATCCCCATAGGTACACCAGCCTAAAGTTTTTTCTCAGCTATAGCCTTGAGAAAGGGAACTAAATATTTTTGATTCTCAAAGATTCAGATCCAGTCCTTTTGGTGGAGCTAGATATTCAGGTAAAAACCACCCTGTATGTTTCACATATTTTCTGCACACAGCTTAGTTCAACATTTATTGCTAATTTTACAGCTGCTTTCTCCCCTTTGAACATTATTTTCCCAGGTAATACCTCTCCTGATGGAACAGAAACTCAGATCTCATTGCTCAGGATAAGATAATATGTCTGTAGCCTATGCTATGACAGACACATAATTCTTCCTCCTTTTTTCCTCTGAAATGAATGGCATGAGACACTACTCTCTCTTTTCTTCCATTCTTGTTGTCTGTTCATGTGTCACACATGCCTTATTCACAATATTAGTGGGTAGATTTTTATTCACACTTATTACTTACCTATCTTAAGAAAGAGTGGGAAACTCTTCTTTTTGTTTCTTGGTTAACTTCAACTAAACCAATCAAGATTATTTGACCTCCACTGTTTGGATTCGAGCTGAAAGAAGAGAATAAAAGATTGAAAATGTGAATGCAAGAGGAGCATTTGTTTTATGCTGAATAAATTCAGTCACACTATAAGGACCAAGAGTCAAAGAAGCCTGTCTGTGTAGATTGTGTGCTTTTCCAGAATACCTAACCTGTATATAATATGTATGGATGCTAATATTAATGTGAGCATAATATAATGCCACGTGTGGAAGCCTGTGTTTCTACATGTTCTGCTTTTGCTATGGACATGACACACGTTCTGGGAAGGAAACTTTATGATCACTTATTCATATATCCATGCCTCCTTTACTGTATGGACTTACCTGTTGTAATCAGACCAAGGCTAGTCAAACAAATGTGGTATTAACGTCACTGAGGTGAGGCACAGGAATCTGAGAACTGACAGAACAGGATCCTCCCCTATGTATCCGTCTCAGTGCAGGAAGGCGTTGGCTTTTGTAGGCAGATGGCTGATGTATTGGTCTGCAGAGCTAAAGCACTTTCCTGTGTGCAAATATTTGCGCTTGACCAGAACAAAAGAAAAGCCACCATACCTTTGTGTACCATGGAGGTGAGAGGCTGTGGGACACCTCAGCACTTAAAATGCAGAAGTAACTTGATCTTGCAGAATAAGGCTGATATCCTCAGGATTGTTTCATGTGTTACACGTGTTCTTGCCAAGGGCTGACACAGAGAAATTTCCAAATGCTGAGGTGTCCTTCCCAGGATTGGCCAAGTCACTGGTCTGTTTAATTTTATTTCTTCCTTAGTTCAAATGGATGCACAGTTCCACATTATGAGTCAGGTAGAAACAGTCTCCATGGCAATTAAAAAATCCAAAAATATAAATCAGAAGGGGAAGAATATTTATTCTTCACCAGAAAATGTCCAGAATTTGCAATCTGTATATTCATACCTTTTCCTTGCACTTCAAGGTGCTTGTGAGGTTCATCATTTATCATATTTTGTTGCTACTGTGTAAATTAACGGACCCACTAGTCACTAAAAGCGGAGGCATTTTAGCAGACCATTTTATTTTAAGAGGTACCAGATTTTTGCTCATCCCTTTAGAATAAGAGAAGGCACACAAGCAACTTCCCTTATCTTTGCATAATAAGAAAGAACCCAAGTACAGTGGAGCTATCCTTTCATTCACACTGGCTTATCAAGTACCGCATTTTGAAATTTCCCTATCATTCCAACCCTAACTGTTCTTTTAAGTAAATGCTCATCAATTCACCCTTTATAAGTGTTGAAGTGGGACTTGCAGGAAAGAAAAAAGATGCTATTGCAATAATTTTCAAGATTATATTGCTCACTAGACAACATCCTTCGGGGGG